AATTTATGAGGTGCGCAAAAAAATAATAGGTAGGTAACTCAACATTCAACTCAGTCGCGAGTATGGCATTAAAAGCAGTTGAGTGCTCTCATCGACATTTACATTTTTCGCGGTTTTCTACATTACTTCGGTGAAGCTAACGCAAAAATAGTATAAGGGAATGTTTGTTCCTTCAGCTTCCAACATTCTTATTCGAGTTCTTAGTCGTGATAATGGACTCAACGAGTTTGAAAAAGAGAGACAATTTGTAAAGAATTTCCATTTTTTATGTAGCAAACGGAAGCAGACTCATTCCCGAAACGTACAAAGTTGAGTGAAAATCTTGTAGTTTCTCACTGAACATATTTAATACCCCTCACTTTGAAAAGATTCTACCAAGACTTCAGATGGATTAGAAAATTATACAACACTAACTTACGGTTACTTTCACTAGTGCGGTGAAGTATCCAATTAATAAATAAGTACAAAAAGTCATTTCAACACAATGTTCATAAAATAAACAACAATGGTAGATTTCGGGAGAAAAACAACTACTTTCCTGGCTAATTTCATGCAGAACATTGATCATTGAATTACATCCTCCCAAAATCTATGCATCGACTCGTATAAACGAATACTGATATGAGTTTATGCATCGACGATAACGCAGGGTTTCTTGCGAAATTATCAGTAATTATTATGCACTCGTGCAATTATAGCCGAAAACTTACTTTCAGCAGTGGTCGATTTATCGTTCGGAAATTAGTTCGTGAAATGTCATTTTTTGTAGAGGTCGACGAAGGAAATATGTATTTTATAGGCACGTACTACTCTCATATTGACCTGTATATTGAATAATTCGTTGAAATGATGAATAAAGTCAATAACCGATTATTGAATGAATTTGCTAATGAATTTGATGTTTAGCGACGTGTATTGCAAAAGATAAATAATAAAATTCGATGATGTATCGGCTCAGCGTGAAATACAATAATGGAGTTTTATACCTATTGAAAGCGGTATTTGTTATTTGACTTCCCTCGATATCCACTGATCCGGAATTTCAACATGATTGAACTTTGCGCCCTATTGTCAGCAGAATTCAACAAACAGGTAGATGTACTGTTTCAAACGAAAAGAGTGTTGTGTTGTGAGCACAGCACAAGTGTATAGGGTCATTCATCATCTATCTCCATCATAGAGGTATATTTGTGCCATGTCAAAAAATAGGAAATCGTGAAGCAGTTCTTACTTGTATTGAGAAGGAATATTCTCAGATATATTATGAATATGAAGAACTGGATATATACAGGGTGTTTCAGTTTTTTGTAGCAGGACTATAACAGCTTGAAGAAGACATTTTATTAAGATGAAAATCTCATACAAACATATATGCGTGGGAGCTTCGTTTCCGATTCACAGGATGTCAAAGTTTCAGATTTTTTTTATGTTTTTTGAATTTTTTCCTACAATTCTCAGAATAATTGATTGAAATTCAATACACCTAATACACTTCAAAAACTCAATATTTGAGGCTATTGAGTGTTTTTGAATACCTACGTGCCGTCTCTGCTTTCGATGAAACATAGATTCAGATTGTCCTTTCAATTTAGAAACTTTTTGCCTCTATGTAAATTTTTCGAAAACTGTATGGATCTCGAGGTAAATGCCAAAAATGAATTACTTGTAGTAAAACCGCTATTTCTCAAACACACTTATTTGACATTTCTTGAACATTTTATTGGAAAATAGAATGGCCGAAAGCTTCCATACCAAATGAAATTTTGGAAGAAATGTGAGGTACTAGCTAGATAATAATTACCCAAATAGATGGATTTTTCAAACACGAGAAGAACTTATCCATCGAATAAGAAATGCGTGTCATGAAATAACAGTTCAGCATTTAAATAACGCGAGACGTTCAATTCAGCGCCGATTTGAAATGTGTCTGGGACAAAACGGTTCATACTTTGAGCATTTACTGCAAGATATTTTATCGAAATTTATTGTGTTTATTTTTTTATTTTGTTCGAATCCTTAAACTTCAATAACTAAATGTAAAATGAAGTGCATTGCAACTAATTTATTCTTGGTATTTATCTCGAAATCCATACAGTTTCCGAAAAACATACATGAAGCAAAAAGTTTTCAAATTGCAGAGACAATCTGAATCTATGTCTCAGTGAAAGCAGAGGCGGCACGCAAAAAAGTTCTACAGGGTTAAATTGGGTACGACCCCTGAAAGTATATCACCCTGTTGGTATTCAAAAATGCTCAATAGCCTCAAATATTGAGTATCTGAAGTACTTATAATTGTTCGAAAATTGGGGTGTTCCATGGCTGTTGGCGAGCAGTGTAAATCACTGAAGATGATTTCAGACGATTTTTATTTCCATGTTGTCTTTTTGGATATTCAAGAAATATAATTCAATGTTCGACGTAGCATATAGCCAGGAAAGTAGTTGTTTTCGATTGAATATTCAGAATATCATGTGCATGTATATTTTTATCTGAAGAAGAATCATGTATCTGAGTATGTTCCTTTCGAATACTCTAATACCCAATCAAGGGATTGAAACTTGAACGATGGAAACTTGTAATTTTTATAGACCTCTAATTGTAGATTCGCGATTGGCTTTTCTCAATTCAGAAGTTTCTTTCGACGCCCTGTATAAATAATATCAATTTGTCATACATCCAAACAGTTTTTTCTCGATTCGAAGTACTAATATAATGAGCAAGCCAATGAAACGATGAGAGTTCAGAACATAATAAAGAATATATATTATCAAATAAGCAGACTTAACTGATACTATAAGAATGAACCTGATGGAAGAGGATGAGGATTTCAAACAATTTCCATATAGACCGGGAGCCCACAACGTGTTTTTTGTGTCTCATTTGTTCACACTCAGCAATATAAGAACCCCCAGAATTCTACCTTCCATTAAACGAATATGAGTTCGACGAATACATTTCGTGGACCAAAGGGTGGGGAACGCGTGGGCGAAGTTGTATAAAACCCGGCGTCTCGAATCATTAACTTACCGTTCGGCGTATGTCGCAAGTTACTATAATTGGAAAACGCCCAACGGTCATAACGAAAATTGGATTTTGGCTACGAAGGTCAATAAAAATTGATTTATTCGGGCTATATTTTTTATACTTTCATTTTATTCAAGAAATATGAAATCAATGCCGAACCAACGCATTAGGTACTCTATTCAATTTTTTTAGTGTACTAACTAACAACATGCTAAACATCAACAAATAATGATGATCAGTGCTGAGTGTGAACAAGAGATACACAAAAAACACGTTGTGGGCTCCCATTCCTTATAATATTATAGCTTTTATTTTCAAAATCGAAATAGATAATGCATTTTGATATCGATATTGATGCATGATGCTCTGATGTCTATCAGCTGTAAATTCTTATCAATCTGATTCAAACAGTGGTCAACAATCTCGAAATGATGCACATATCCATTGATACAGGGTGGTCCTTGGAAAACAAATATGTCACTAAATAATAATAAACAATTGACTTGAGCGTTAAGTTTTGCTTTGAAAAAAATGAAAAATGACCTACTAGGTCGGGGTCACCTGACTCTCGCTATATACATGTAAATTTTTCGAATTTATTGTTGAAAATAGGCTTATTTGTTCGAGTTCCGAAGAAATTTACTGAGAAAAGTTGTTTCTATCCTAATTTTACACATTCATCTCGAATTTGAATCTTCTAGTTTCTGATTTCTCCTAATTGTAACTTCGAAAAACTGTCCAAAACTTTGCTGTTTGATGATAAAGTTTGATGATCTTCTGATAGATGACTTTGGCATCATTTTAGTATTGGAAATATCCATTTAAATGAATTTCTCTCCTGGATGATAGACGATACATCAACTTTGCATCAAACATAACAGACATTCGAAGCGGGGATTATTATTCTCTCACGAAAATCATATTTCTGTCGATAATTAGTTATTGGAAGTTAGTAGCATGATGAAGATAGTCGAATAAAATAGTTAAATCAATGATAATTCTTTCATGATATCACAGACATTTCGTAGATTTGAAAAAATATCGAAAACCAAATGTTGCAATAGATCGTTGAAATTCGAGAAACATATGTGAAATTGGAATAGAAACAACTTTTCTGAGTAAACAAACAAATAAGTCTATTTTCAGCAATTAATTTGTTAAAATGTAACTTTTGCATTGTAGCGAAAGTCACGTGACTCCGACCGAGTAATCCCTTTTGTTATAATTTTTAAAGCAAAATTCAACTCCCAAATTGAATTCCAATAAATCGTTATCAAAAAATTTTCCCATATGATGCCTACTTTATGAATGACACTGTATGCGTGAAAGTGTCCTACAGAATCTGTTATGAGATCAAATCATTGGAATATTGGAATTTCCAACATGACCGGATTTCCGAATCGTCCCCCTTACTTTGTAAACATACCTAAAAAATAATTTCGAGCTAAATAAGCAATGAAGAGATAGGTATATAGGATAACGCATGAATAAAAAAGGTATTGCTGAGAAACGATGATAAACTCACAAAATTCATCACAATCGCAGAATAGATTAACGAGTATCAGGAACAGATTCTGTTCGTGGCGAACTTCTTCACGAAGATTTAGGATTATGATTACATTTGAAAAAAATGGGAGAGTCACATAGACAGGTGGGAGATAGTGCATATTCCATCACAAATCTGGACACTGTGTGTGCACACCATAATCAAATTTCTAGCTAGTCATTCTTGACTCGAAGAACCCCCATGTAACAATGCTTCTATGATAATAATTGAGCATTCAAGAGTTATTTTGAAAAACTGCGTCTGTTTATTTCGGCATCTCAAGAAATTGTCCTCCTCCTCGTTCATACTCACAAGAAACTCTGTAATATACCACGAAAGAAAATATCGCGAAATGAATCATCCACGTTGAAATCACCTTGAAATTGTTTACTTTGCATATACTCCACGTTACCTTACCTTTTGATTACAGTGCAGCTTCGACCGAACGACCCTGGGCCGCTGCTTCAAATCCCGCCACAGCAACGAATCCCAGTGCCCCATGCTCTCCATCCCCAAGCCTCCGCCTCACAAGCACCCGCTCAAGTCCCCCAGGAAGTCCCACTTCCTGCACACCCTCAAGACCTCGCCCAGCACGTCGAGCAGCCAGAAGAAGCTGCGCTTCCAGCTGGCCAAGGAGAGGAAGGCCAGCACCACCCTGGGCATCATCATGAGCGCGTTCACGTTCTGCTGGCTGCCTTTTTTCGTTCTGGCGCTGGTCAGGCCCTTCTTGGAGACGACCAACGCGCTGAGGACTCTGGCAACGCTGTTCTTGTGGCTGGGGTACGCGAACAGTCTGCTCAACCCGATTATTTATGCGACGCTCAACAGGGACTTCAGGAAACCGTTCCAGGTAGGTCCATATATCACTAAACGCAACACATTCAAAGTGCCACATAGACATTGTTTGGTATATACCATTGACTTAGAGATTCTTGTCCAGTGTAAGCACTGATGCCTGTTATCTGGTTATGGAGAGAGTGTGAGATAAAATCGGACTTTGGAGGCTGTCTGGGTACATTATTTCAATAATGAATAATTCAAAAATGGCTAGTCACTCTGGGGGTACTTGTTAGCGTCCGATCTACAACAAGTTTTGTATATGGATAGCTTTACTCAAAACTAGAGCTCATTAGCTACCCGAACACCCTTCCAGTGGACCACGTTGGCGTTGCACCGCTGTGAGGACGGTTCATTAACTACGAGACCTACCAAGGCTGAATGATTTCAAGACCCTATCCGATATTTCAATCCTAACTCCCATCACGTACCGTGTGTGCCCTGCAGGAACACAAATGGCATTTGGTGCTTCCCCTGAGAAGTACAATGCTTTCAACTTCTGGCTACTCACATTTCTCAGAGGTAACACGGCGACCAGAGACACCCCGGGGTATCAAAGGTCACATCGACTAGACACCAAGGGGTGTGGCCAAACTCAACCTCAAAAGGCCTTGGTCTTGGAGTCGTGGTGCCGTTCCAGAGCTCTTTATATTCTTCTAAATTCTGGTATCTTTGCTATGGATTTCTTCTTTTCTTCGTATTTATTTTAGATTCATATACCCACTCGTATATTGAAGCATATAGCTTCTTCGTATGGACGCTGGCGACTTTGTTCTCAACACCATTATTTATGCGCCCGTCAACAGGGACTTCAGGAAACCGTTTCAGCTAGGTCCAGACGTCACTGGACGCCAAACATTCATATTTTGCCACATAGACATTCTTTGGTATATTCCATAGATTCATTTTTTTAAGGAGACCAGCTAGAATGTACTGATGCCTGTTTTCTGACTATGGAGAGGGTGTGAAATGGAATCGGACTTTGAGGGCAGCCCTAGTCTATACTAGACTTAATTCGCTACCTGAACACCAATCAACCCTATCACGTTGACGTTGCACCGCTGTCAGGATGGTTCACTAACTCCTAGGCCTACCAAGGCTGAATGCCTCTGAGTCCTTATCCGCTATCTCTATCCTAACTCCCGCCGCATACCGTCTGCCCTGCAGGAACACAAATGGCATTTAGCCTGAGAAGTTATTTCATCTATTGGCTACTCGAGTATCTCAAAGGTATGACGGCGACCAGAGATACCTTGGAGCATCGAAGTTCACAATGACAAGACACCAAGGGGTGTGGCCAGAATCAACCACAAAGGGCCTTGGTCTTGGTAGTCTTGGGGAGGTTCTGAAGCTCTTTATATTATTTCTCCTTATTTTCTCTCATGAACTCAGATATCCTTGCTATGGATTCTTTCTTGTCTTCAAATTTCTTCTTTATTAATATACATATATTCGAGTTCACAGCTTCCTCTTTCTCTTCACTATTATTATGTATATACTTCTTCACTCGCATATACTTCTCCACTTCTTTACTTGTGCAATTCTTCAACCACCTTTGGCACTACCTTGGGCCTCATCATGAGCGCGTGTACGTTCTTTTGGCTGCCTTTCTTCGTGCTGGCGAGGGTCAAGACCTTTTTGGAGACGCGGGCAACGCTTTTTTTGTGACTGGGGTACGCGAACAGCCTGCTCAACCTGATTATCTATGCGACGCTTAACAGGGATGATGGTTCACTGACTCCTAGACCTATCAGGGCTGAATGCCTCTTAGTCCTTATCCACTATTCCTATCCTAACTCGTAGAAACACAAATGGCATTGAGCGCTTTCCCTGAGATGTGTAATGCTTTCCCCCGCTTTCCCCCTTTTGGCTACTCACGTATCTTAGAGGTAAGACGGCGACCAGAGAAACACCAAGGCATCTAAATGTCACAATAACGATGAGACACTATGGGCTGTGGTCCGGCTAAACCACGAAGGTCTTGGTGTCGTTCCGACTTCCGAAGCTCTTTTTTCTTGCAAAACTCAGAAGGAAATAGGTATTTTGAGTTCGGTAGTAGGGGGATTGTTCAGTTGCCCTATTAGGACAGTTTCGTTGGCCATCCACTTCGGTTTATAGTAGGATGATCCAATGATAGTATACAAATCATAATTGTAGAGCAGCTGGCTGTAGACATCTGATTACTATTTATTGATGAGAAATCTGCTATCTCTCTGAGTCTCCTGCTGCTGCATTCATCATTTCCTCCTCTAAATGAAGGTATCCTCACTAGAAATCCTTCCTCTTCTTCTAATTGGATGTATTATCGAATTAAATTCTACTTGTTTCCATATATTTTTAGGGAACTATTTCGATCTATTCCAAGGGAACTATTTCCTATGTTATAGACCTTAAAAACAGTTATTCCATCTAAAAATTGACATCATTCACATCATCAATGACAGTTTCAGCAAGCTATGTGTCTATATTTTGAGGTCTAAGGATGCGAAGGCTAAACCTTCACGATGACATACAGAAAGAATGATCCCATTGCATTGGAACATCCTTGTAATCACTTGAGTTAGGTGACTACCAGCATATGATTTCCAATCATGCGGGTTGTCTGTATATCTTTGTTATACGCACAGGGGTGTGCCGGGTTGAAAATATAAAAAGGGAAATCACCTATATTATCTATGAAATCTGCCATGATGAGCTATTTCCTTGAATCAATGGATTCTCAACCCTTTCCTTATTTTCCATTCGTGCCGCATTATGCTATTAACGCATCAATATTCATCAGATCAATCAAAATCTCGATCAAAATAGTGAATGGCTGTCGTTAACAATAACGATTCAGCTCCTGTTCCCAGAAGTCCAGGCATTCGCTTTAATGGATTTTCGACGGTAGTCGCTCTATTTATTCGGTTAGAGGAATCGAAGACAAACATCACGAGAATGAAATGGATTTTGCGATTCGGCAATGATTATTCATTTCCGCTCGTCAAGGCAATCAATACACCTTTCAGCTTGGGAGACGAAGGTTAGAAAAAATGTCAAAGAACTACGAAGAGGAAAAAACTAATATTTGTCGCACTAGATCGAACTTTTTCCGACTGAATGTCTTTTGTCTTCTTTAATCATGTATTCTCCAAGGATAGATGGAAAACTCGTCTTATTCATTTCCTAAGGTGTTTATCGTTTTAACAATATTCTCTGAATGAATTTCCGCATATTGAATCGTAACTTCTTCAGCTTCTTCAATTCGCACCTGCAAAAGATTCCAATGAATCATCAAATCAGCAAGTGTAAGTTATACACGAGATCAATTGCTAAAAGTGCATCCAAAAAACTTAGTTTTTTGTTTCGGGCCAGGAGCTATTTCACTTCCATCTGCTTATGATCTATAAGGCACAGATTCGACCGGTCCTGGAATACTGTTCCCATATTAGGAGTGCAACACCCAAACATACCCTGAAACTGTTGGATTATGTCCAATACAAGGGAATTCGTCTCGTAGGTGATGCCTCGCTCACAAACTCACTCACTTCTCTGGAACACCGTAGGAAAGCTGGCTCTTTTTTATAGATATTTTCATGGACGATGCTCTTCTGAAATATCAACAATTGTTCCTTCCTTGGCAGTCCCCGCGAGATTAACCCGTCGAGTTGAGGCTCCGCACCCCTTTGTGGTAACTTTGGAGACCTGCAGAACATCTCTTTCCAAGGACTCGTTCATTCAACGAACAGCGAGGCTATGGAACACATTGCCAAGTGAGGTGTTCCCCGAGGCATATAACCTTCAGAAATTTGAGAAGAACACCAATTCCTACCTAATTTCCATTGGTTTTCATGATCTTCTATGAACATTACAGGATATCCCTTTTCGTGGGAACCAGAACATAAAAAAATTATAAATAGAAAACTTCTCCACTGCAAAATTTTGTTGTTGCAGGCGATCCTGTACTGCCGCTGCGGCAGTCTGAACCACATGATGCGCGAGGAGTTCTACCACAGCCAGTACGGCGATCCCGACCACCACATCAACAGGTGCCACACGGAGTACGAGGAGGGCGTCGAGTACATCGAGGCCGACGGCGAGCAGGTCAAGGCGGCCGAGGCCGAGCCTCACGCGCAGGCGCACGAGTCGTTCCTGTGATGATCTGTGAGGGAGGGACGTCGGTAGGTGAGCGATGTGACGATCTTTCTCCTAATTCTCTGAAATTGTACCTTTGAAATATATGTCATGTAGGTCGGTGTACTGTCAGTTTCCGCTTCTTCCATAAATTTATTTGTGGTTATGTATGATTGTCAGTGCTTGTCAGCTAAAAATCTGAAGGGTATCTCCCATCCATTAATGAATTTGCGCCTTCGAAGTGCGCACCTGATGTAAGGTTCCGATATTAGATATTTTTATTTCATCTAGATAATCTGAGACTTAGAAGTATCAAAAGACGGATTCTGATAGTTAATATCCAGCACGAATCCATTTTACCCAGACCTATGCATAAGCGATTCCAAAAGAAGCGCCTGCGTGTTGACAAACGCCCATAGACACAGTCCATGGTGCAACAAATACTAAACTCCAAGTTGAAGAGGAATATTCTCAGAATCGTGATTGGGTTTTCTCAATTCAGAATTTCTTTTCACGACCAGTATGATGAAGATCAATTCATCATACTGTGTTTATCAACATGAGGTCTTTCTTCATACCATAATTTTCAAGTACCTCCTTGGTTGTTGTGTGTTCGAATTCCAATATATTTTCCGAAAAATATACTTTCTAGGAAGATGATTCATTTAGGCTAAGTAAGGTTTGAATGTTTGAAAAAAGAAGTCCCCTTTCTTATTCAGAAGGGATATTCTGTTTCTTCCCTTGAAAAAGTAAAACTGTTGAGGCCGATAGTGATTCGCTATTGTAATGACGTTTTTTCGCTCACGGCCGGACATTTTTCGTAGACTTGAGTCTGTGCCAATTAAGGGTATTGGCTATTATCTACTATCTAACATTCGTTATTCGGATTTACCGTAAATACAGTGATTTGAATTTACCGTCATTGCCAAAATCGCTCTGATTGTTCTCCTATTATACCACCCTATATGGGCAAAACGGATTCGTGCTGATATCCAAGGTACCTACTGACGCATAGACTTTCATGTTTGATTGTTAGAATATGTTTTGTGTCCAAAGAGCTATTGTCGTCACTCTATTTATAAAATCACTCTAGTGGTGACCGGTGACTACAGAACTTATAATCTTTATGTCCTATACCTATACTTTTTCAAGTTCAAATTGAGGCAAATCAATTCCGAATTAGAATTAAACACATCCAAACTGGTAAATTGATTAAAAATTAGAATAAACACAACCAAATTGGGAATAATCCTACTCAAATTCAGAATAAACAGTTTCAAATTGAGAATTAACATATTCAAGTTGATTGACACGGTCAAAATAAGAAACAACTGGGACCAAACTACTTCGAATTGTCAATATATCGAGTCAAAATCGAAATTGATTATTAAAGCAATCATAATTCGTCGTACCCAATATTTGAATTGGAATACCTCACATAAAAAAGATGCAGACAATATTTTGAAATCGAATTTGTGAGGTGTTCGATAATAATGGTGATCGGAGGAGACTGGCGGATTCATTCGGCATAAAAAATCAACAGCTTATATCGTTAGAGAATTGGGACGAAATGAGAACCATAATCACTGAAGAACAACACAGCATTGCACATAATTTGATACAAATAAATAATTGCAGTGTAGCTATAACGTTCAGAAAGCAATTCCTGTTGCTCTGAAATGAATTGATATGGTTAGGTATGTATGCATTATCTTTATACTTATAAATATTTGTTTATTCAATGTTCATTACAGTTGTGTGTAGGTATAATTGAAATCCTTTTCGGAATTTCGTGTTTGGTATTATTAACATCATATTCGCTATTGAATCAATCAATTCCATATTGTAGGTATATAAAAGTTCCGATTTAAAATTGATTGGTTTCAATTTGAATTTGGATTAGTTTATACCGTTCCTAGTCATTTTGTCCGAATTCGAATTTGATTATTGGTGATTTGAATCTGTTTATTCTCAATTTGAATGAAAAATTATAACAGCATGAAACAAAAATACTCGAATGGCTTACAAAAGGAGATTTATCACACTGCTAGCTACGAATTGTCATGGAGAGGGGGAGAAGCGACAAAAGCGTTAGAATAATATATCAGAGAAGAAATATATCATTATGGAAATTAAACTTCCAAGATATAAAACTGCAAATAATTTGACACCTGATCTTCATTGGCAGCAACCTTCATCTTAGAGTGGTACAAATATATCTCGCTATGACAAAACAAAATTGGAAAGTGGACGAAACGAGCAGCTCAAAAGATTGACTAGAATCCTAGCAAATATAAACCATTCACATCGTTCCTTCGCTGGATTTCGTCCATTCGTGAGATTTCTATAGGAACAAAGATTCGTGCATCTAGTTAAAATTATCAAAAATCACCACCACTTATGTAGTTCCTCTCAGTGATCTGATAAGATTAGATTTATCTCTCATGAATAAACTCTCAAGCCAAAGAAAATAGGACATCAAACTTGAAGATTGTTATGATCACAAACGAGATGCATGATTTGACTAACAGTAAACATTCCCAAACTCGGAAATTTCACAAACATGCCTGATGTTCGGCGGTACACCATAAATTAATCTTGTTTTCGTTTCACAGTTTTCCCCCAGGCACATCATTAATTTCACCGAATTTCCCGCATCCACGGGGGAATATGACTTGTCTCTCTCAATCAATTCAAACTGAAAAACAGTCAGTTCCCTTGATATCTCGTAAGCAAATTCTGGGTGAAAATATTTTTTCCACTAACTATAGAACCATTACCATCATTTACTTCTTTTCGAGGTGTAAAGTGTGTTTTTTCTACCAAGGTGGTTTTTGTCATTTTATGAACCACTAGTCAATTAAGACATAGCCACCTCTGTTATAAATAAACCGAACTCACTGTACTGATGCGAGATTCGCAGGAATGGCACTCGAACCTATATAGTAGGTATTCATCAATAACGACGAAAATTATTTTTACGTGTACAATACACACCTGGAGTTTGTTGCGTTCCTCCCGACTCATCCTGTATAGACAAACGAATTCAGGAAAAGTGTTGTTCGATATTTTTCAATAGAGAAGGTTCTATTGAGGACAACATAGTCCCCAAAATATAATGGTTTTTTTTAAATATTATTTTGGTAGAAGGACTTCGAGCAATAGCCATTTGGACATTGTTGTTCAAAAAAGGACTATCATGATTAGGTTGATTAGGTGATTAGGTATTATGTTGAATATTATGAATATGTGATATTATGGGTATACTTTTGAATTTTATTATCAGACAACGGTATCAAAAACTTCATAGTACAGGGTGTTCCTGAAAGGTCTTCACAAAAACTTACCACATATTCCTCAGACCAAGGTTGCTTATTTAGGGCAGCTGACGGCTCTAAAGTGAATTTTCAAATCATTTTTGCTTCATAACTCATGAGATTTTACCCAATTTTGGTATGTTGGCAAGGCTTCATTAGACAATTAAGCTCTTTTCCACCTCGAACGAGAGGGAGGAAAGCTCTCCTCATCCATCTTCCTCTTCAATGCTATACAAACATGGCCGCATTGAAATATAGATAGGTCCGATAAATCTTTCCTTGTTTTACATTCACTCTACGTTACTATTTTCGATGTTATAATAATATGATATGTCTATGTCATAAATGTCCATTGACTGATAACCTTTCGAATTTTTAAATGAAATTTCGAATTATATCATACTTATTGTGACATCATTTGTTAATATCGTTTAAATTGAATCTCTGCTGAATTCAAAAGTAGTTTCGTGGCACATACTAGATGTTGACAAGGACAGATTTATCAGTCCTCTCTATATTTCAATGCGGCTACGTTGGTGTTAAGTTGGTGTCATTGAAGAGAAAGATGGAAGAGGAGAGAACATATCCCTCTCTCTCTCGTTCAAGATAGAAAAGATCTATCATTATCATGATGAATATCATTTGATGGGCGTAGAACTTGATTTTTTTCAGTAGATGAACATCTGAAACTTGTTTCAATATGAAATTTGGATGGCGTAGCTTGTTGACTATACAAAACTGTTTCGCAGTTAGAATTCGATTACTCTTATGATATTGTCAAAATTTTAATTTCAGTAATTGAACGCATCAGTCAACACTACTAAAACGATTGACAGATATTTCTTAGAAATTGTTCGGAATTTTCATCATCTCCACGTTTACAAAGATTTATACGACGAAAAAGATTGAAATGAGCTATCAGCTATTTTTAGTAGATTTTTTTTTGTACAGGGTAAACCAGAGCCGTCTAGCACCCACCACCACCACCAAAAAAATTTATGAACTATCTGTTTCGTATCGTATCGTTTCAGTGTTGACTGATGCTTTGAATTACAAAAATTCAAATTTTGTAGCAACGATGAGAGAAATCGAATTCAATCAGGAGTACTCTTGTTGTAGTGAACAAGGGACGCAATCTCAGTTTCATATTCAAACCCTCTTCTTTCCATTGGCGTAGAAGTTTTAGATGTTCATTTACTGAAAGAATCAGGTTCTACGCTCATGGAATGATGTGCATCATAATCATAATATGTTTTGCTTGATAAAGCTATGCCAACATACCGAATTTGAGTAAAATCTGATGAACCGTTTCAGATTTATGAAGCAAACACAATTTGAAAATTGCAACTCCAGAGCCGTCTAGCGTCCAAACTAAACAACTATTTGTACTGAGGTTAATTTTCTTGTACTAAATTGATTTGGTCTGAGGAATAAATAATAAATGAAGGCCTTTTAGGGACACCCTGTATAATAAAACTAAATGTCGATTAATCGCTAATTATTCACGATTCGTTTAATTCCATCCAGCAGACTCAGAAAAATTATGCTGTAACGAAGTTCAAAAACTCGGAACGCTGATAGCACCTCGGAATCAGTTCCACTCGAACAAATTAGTAAAAGGGATTTTCATTTATTTCACCTTATCCTTTTTTCTTGCACCGTTATTGTTTTAACCCATGCCAACAAACAGTAAAAATGTCTGAGGAGACTTAATTAAAAATTAAAATAAT